GTGGTTGCTTACCACCCAGGACACTCGTGGTCGTCGTGTCAGCTGTCTCCACTCCGACCGCGGGGGCGAGTTTCGCTCCGGCATTCTCGCTGGATTCTGTCGCGAACAGGGCATTCGTCAGTCCTGGACGCTTCCGGAGTCCCCACAGCAGAATGGGGTTGCTGAGCGTCGCATAGGCCTGGTCATGGAGATTGCCCGCACCTCCTTGACTCACGCCCGTGCCCCCCATTTCCTGTGGCCATACGCGGTCAGGTACGCCGCGCACCAGCTGAACCTCTGGCCACGCGTCTCTCGGCCGGAGGCTTCACCGACCAGTCTTTGGACAGGGTCCCCTGGTGTCGCGTCGAGGTTTCGTGTCTGGGGGTGCTTGGCTCTTGTCCGCGACACCTCCGCGGACAAGCTCTCGCCTCGCGCCGTTCCTTGTGTCTTCCTTGGTTTCCCTGAGGACTGTTCTGACTTCACCTTTTACCACCCTCCCTCTCACCGGTTCTTTGACTCCCGTGACGTCCGTTTCGAGGAGTCCACCCCCTACTACGTCAGGTACCCCAGTCGAGGTCTCCCGGTCCCTCCCCCCCCTCTCTTCCTGACCGCCGCTCCCCCGCCTGCTCCCCCGGTACAGCCTCCCCCCCCTGGTCCAGCCCCGTCTGGTGTGTCTCAGGCTAGCCCTCCCCCTTCGGTGGCCCCTCCTGTACAGCCTCCCTCCCCACAGTCTTCCTCGCCGCCTCCTGCAGGTGCTCCCTCTCGGGAGGTTGGTCCTGCGACTGTCCCTGTACAGGTCTCTGGTTCTGGGGGTGCTGGAGTTGGAGCTGAGCCGCGGGTTGCAGAGGACTCTTGTCTTCCGGGGGCTGGTACTGGTCGTGCGGAGTCTGGGGGTGCTGGTGCGGAGTCTGGGGGTGCTGCGTCTGGGGGTGAGGGTGTCCCTTCGGTTTCTGGAGAGCCTGGGTCTGGAGCTGGTGTTGGTGCTGCCTCTGGGGGTGGTGTGCTTGGTGCTTCGGAGGTCGACTCTGGGGCTGCCGCTGCCCCGGACACTACTCCTTCCCCCCACCCCTACCCGACCAGGTTCCAGGCTCGTGTTCGCCGTGCTCGTGAGGAGCAGCTGGAGTTGGAGAGAGAGGAGAGAGAGTTGCAGCGGCTCGAGGAGCAGGAGCGACAGCAGCAGGAGCAGCAGCAGGGGCAGCAGCCGCTGGAGCAGCAGCAGCCGCAGCAGCCGCAGCAGCAGCAGCTGCCGTCTCCTCCTCCTGTCTCGGGTCTTCGGACCCTTGGTCTCCCCTCTCCCTCTCCTTCCTCCTCCCCCTCTCCTCCCGTCTCTGGTCCTCCGCTTCCTCCTCCTGACCCCTCTCCCGCTGTTTTCCCTCGTTCTCAGTCTTCGTTGTCTCCTCCTCCTTCTCAGACTTGGGCCTCTCGTCGCTCCCCTCGTGCTCGTCCCTCGTCTCCTGTTCCCTTCACTGACCTTCGTACAGCCTTCCTTTGTTCTCGTCCACCTCGTCCGTCTCCGTCTGTGCTTCCGTCTCCTCCTGAGTCGGCCCTCACTGTGTCGCTTCCTTCTCCTGTCACTGACTACTACCGCACGTACCGTCCTGTTCTCTCTCGTGTTCTCGCCTCTCTTGTTACCCACCCTCGTGCCTCTGTGTCCTCTGTGTCCGCTCTTACTACCGCAGTCACTGAGTTTGCCTCTACCCGCCGCCTTGACTTCGCCACCGCTCTTGTGGCTGCTCCTCCTTCCAGTCCTCTGGCCGTCGGGGGTGTGTCTGCCCTTGGCTGTGACGCCCTAGAGGACAGGCAGTTTGAGCTAGAGTTCCTGGCGGCCGCTTCCCCTCATCTCTGTGCCATGCTCCTCGCCCCTGAGGGTGACCCCGACGCCCTTGACATTCCGACTCCTCGCACTTACGCTGAGGCAGTGTCAGGGCCTTGGGCCTCTCAGTGGAGAGCTGCCATGGACGCAGAGATGGCCTCCTACAGATCCACAGGCACCTACGTCGATGAGGTTCCCCCTCCGGGGGCGAACGTAGTCGACGGCATGTGGATCTACAGGGTGAAGCGGCCACCGGGATCTCCTCCGGTCTTCAAGGCGCGCTACGTGGCTAGAGGTTTCAGTCAGCGCGAGGGAGTTGACTTCTTTCAGACCTTCGCGCCCACCCCGAAGATGACCACTCTTCGGGTGTTACTACACGTAGCAGCACAGAGAGACTACGAGTTACACTCTCTCGACTTCTCTACTGCTTTCCTTCAGGGCAGTCTTCACGAGGAGGTCTGGTTGCGTCGTCCCTCTGCCTTCACTGGCTCTTTCCCTCCTGGGACCCAGTGGAGGCTGAGGCGACCGGTTTACGGACTTCGTCAGGCTCCTCGTGAGTGGCACGACACCCTGCGTTCTACCCTGTCTGACCTTGGGTTCCAGCCGTCTTCTGCTGACCCGTCGCTGTTCGTTCGTCGTGGCCCCACACCTTTCTTTGTTCTGGTCTACGTTGACGACCTTGTTTTCGCCACCCCTGACAGGGTTGCTTTGGCACACGTGAAGTCCGAACTGCAGAAGAGACACACCTGCACTGATCTTGGTGAGCTGCGCCACTACCTTGGCCTGCAGATCACCAGGGACAGAGCTGCTCGCACCATTACACTTTCACAGTCACACATGGTGCAGTAGGTCCTTCAGCGGTTCGGGCTTCAGCACTCCACAGTACAGCGCACACCTCTTGCTGTTGACCACAGACTCACTGGACCCTTTCCTGACGAGCCGTTCGAGCCTAGTGGTCCCTACGCAGAGCTTGTGGGTTGCCTCATGTACCTGATGACTTGTACTCGCCCGGACCTCGCCTTCCCTCTCAGCGTTCTTGCGCGCTTTGTTGCGCCAGGGAGACACCGTCCTGTTCACTGGACAGCAGCTGTGAGGGTGGCGAAGTACCTAGCGACGACATCAGGCGTGGGGCTAGTTCTTGGAGGGCAGCAGTCTGTCGTACTTACTGGTCACTGTGACTCCTCTTACGCTGACGACGCTGAGACTCACAGGTCTACTCAGGGGTACTGTTTCAGCCTGGGTTCTGGAGCTGTTTCCTGGCGGTCCACGCGCTCCTCTTCGGTCTCGACCTCTACAGCTGAGGCTGAGATCTACGCTGGTGCCATGGCGGCACAGGAGCTGCGTTGGTTGACCTTCTTGCTCACCGACCTTGGTGAGCGGCCGAGCTCTGCACCGACCTTGTTCACTGACAACAAGGCGTCTATTCTCCTTTGTCGAGAGCCACGACTGGAGAGCAGAGTGAAGCACATTCACGTCAGGTACTTTCTTCTGCGAGAGTTGCAGAGGCGTGGACAGGCTCGCTTTGAGTTTGTGGAGTCCGAGGCCAACACTGCAGACATCTTCACCAAGGCGCTTCCGCCTTGTGACCACCAGAGGTGCTGTGTGCAGTTAGGCCTTGTTGACACTGGTTCTCGTGTTGCTTAGACTTGAGTGTACTGTTTACTTTGCTTTCTATATATCTCTGTTACTTCTTGGACTGGCCTTGTGGCCACTGTTGTTTGTGCTCAGACTGTGTGGTGACGTTGTGATCCACCCTGAGCTTCGTTTCTTGGACTGGTCTTGTGACCGTACTCGTTTGGTTCTGCTAGACACCCCTCACTTAGGCTATGGGGGTGTGTCAAATGTTGTAGCCTATAGTGAGGTTTGTCTTAGGGGGTACAAAACTTAGGGTTAGCTATATGTACCCCAACCAACATCAATGCATCATCCATTCTTCATTCTGACAGCAGGCTGCGGGCGCGACGGCGGGCGACGGGAGAAGGCGCAGCGGTGGCGCGCGTAAGGGGGGGACGGGCGACGTGACGACGGGCGGGGAGAGCGCGATTCGACGGGCAGCAGGGGGGAAAACGCGACTCGACGGGCAGCGGGGGGAAAAACGCGACTCGACGGGCAGCAGGGGGAAAAACGCGACTCGACGGGCCTCGGAGGGGGGAAAACGCGACGGGCCAGCAGGGGGGAGGAAGGTCGCTACGCTACTCGAGTAGGGGATCGGCGGAACGGGCGGTAACGAAGGAACGGGACGAGAGCGGGCCGGCGCTAGGCTCGGGCAAGACGTGCGTAAGTAATACGAGAGAGGGAGACAGGCTCGGGCGATACGAACGAGGTCGGGAGGAACGGGATCCTACAGGATCCTAACCTAGGTGATACCATGTCAAAATCGGAAGTGTGTGTTCATTGATGGTGGTTGGGGTACAAGTAGCAAACCCTAACATACGTACCCCCTAAGACAAACCTCACTACAGGCTACCAACATTTGACAGTAGGGAATCTTCGGGAATGTTATAAGAACTTTTCGGTTATTCCAACATTTTCAATACGTGGTGATAAGACCATAGCAGCATGTAGTGGATGTCGAGTCTTTGTTATTGTCGTAACAAGCATCAGTGTATATGTGTATATGAATGTGTATCCAAAAAGTATATGTGAAGAAAGGTATAGAAAATATAGCAAAAAAACTATTATGCTAATACTGGATAATTCTATCACAAATATTTTCATAAATAATAAATTATATTTTGTTTCAGTAATACCGTGTGCCTATGGTACAGTATTTGGAGAGCCGTTATTGCATACTTTTGTCTGATATATGTAGTGTTGGCTAGAAAAGTCATTCGTGCTACTATCGATGGATCTTGTGTGAGCGAAGCGCGACGACGAAGACTAAACCAAGAACTACAAATGCTGCTCTGCTCAAGGATTTCAAACCATTGCTGGAGACCTCCATTTCTCCCTTCTTGAACCACTTACCATCACATTACAATGGCCCTCAAGTTCGGCTTCTCCATTTTCACCTTGGCGATACTAATCTGCCTTCATGTATCCTTCTCGAATCTTGGGTAACTTCTTGAAGCTCGTAACTGCTTTGAAGCTCATAACTTCTTCCTGTCTAACCATTTTGTACAGGGTCTCAGCGAAACGGCACAAGATTAAAAACCACAAGAATGTCAAACTTACACCAACAAGCCGCGTTATGAACTCTGGACCGTCCATGGTGTTTGATGCTGGGGTCGAGGATCATATGTCAATAGATGCAGACGGACGCGGGTTTTACATCTTTGAGGACGACTCAGGAAGTACGCGTTTTCAACATGTAACACACGATCATATCTGTTACTACTAGTGCTTACCTGACATTGTCATTCGGATGCGTGGCAGCTGCTCGTGTGCGATCTTCATCGCGTTATCCAACGGGAACTACATTCTCAGGAGACGTGATGATCCCCAGTGGTGCAACGAGTGGCATTGTGTCATCTTTCTACTTGTCCTCACTAGAAGGAAGCACAACGCAAGATGAGATTGACTTCGAATGGCTTGGCAAGAACAACATGCAGGTTCAGACAAACTACTACGTCAATGGGTAATTTCCTTCTTAACAAGTTCTCTGTTTCCTTTCTTCTTTTTTTTTTATGCAATACTTTGTTATGCTAACATTTCGTCAGAGTTGGTGGACACGAGCTGGTCGTTGACCTAGGATTCGACGCCAGCCAGAGCTTCCATACCTACGCCATTACATACGACGAAGACAAGATTCAGTGAGTAAATGTTTTCTCGTCGTGCTGTTCTTGACGTTCCTATGGTATTCTGAGCGATTATGACGCATTTTTCTTTACAGATGGTTCATTGATGGCGAGCTCGTGCGCACGGTGTTGAAATCCACGAGCAGCAGCTTTCCCTCTATGAACGTCTATTTATACTCCAGCTTGTGGAACGCTTCTTTCATTAACGGGGGCTCGTGGGCTGGAGTTAACAGCGATCCTACCAATGCCGCTTACACGATTGCTGCCAAGAATATAAACATTCAGTAAACCTGGAGAAGATCAGACTAACCTGTTGTATGACTATTTATTGTAGTACCTGTATGTATGATAGGAAGCTCTTGGAAATGTCTCTTTTCAGTAAAGGTCCATTCCATGCTCGTTATCATGTAGAAAATCCGACCACCTCACGTCCAATGTACCGTACGATTCGCACACCAGATAAAGGTTGCAGCTTCTTTTATCACAACTCAAGATCCTTCAAAACTGTGAGACCCTGATATGCACGTCAAGAAGGCCTCTTAGCAAACTGCCGATACCAAGTGACCATAGGGGTAGTCCCACACCAAGAGGCTTTTGCAAATCAACTGTTGAGATTTCGACCCCTTAAGAGACATGCATCCCAGGTTTGAACATGTACCGTAGCTGTTGCATATCAATGAACGTAGCTGAAAAGGCTGCTCAATGTATCATCTCTACTACTAAACCCTCAGTGATCAACCTCAGGTGGAGGTGTTGAGCAAGAATTCATAGTCTTCCATGCATCTATCCAGGTAACCATGGCCTCTGCCAGCTTGTTAAGAGATGAATCAGCTTTGCCAAGCTTCTCCTTCACCTGAGGTATACAAGCGAGTTTCCAGATGGAAAATGGTCAGGAAGAAACACAGAAATAAAGCAGGAAATCACTTACGGCTCCCAGTCACCTGTTTGGCGATTTCAAGGTAGCATGCCTCCACCGTTGAAGCTTCAGCAGGTAGCTGCATGGATTGGAAGAATGGTACAATCTCCTCTTGCCAAAATATGCCCTTGTACTCCTTCCTGCAGCAAAAAAAACATCAGTATGCCAGCGCTTGGCAGGAACTAGGTATGCCAAACAAAGACAAGCGTTACCTCAAGCATGCGAAAGCATTTGCAGATTTTTGCCTCCAAACGTAGGGCAGCCCTGATTTCACACCATACCGCAAATGGTCGCATATAACCTGGAGTACAACGTCCAACCTCAAATCAATCTTGATAGACATCAACTACAAAATCTCAGAGCAGCTACACACCTTTGAGCACCATCCAGCCCACATGTCATCATGAAAGCCGAAAGGTTGTCCTTCACCAATGGGAGGAAAGTACATTGCAGGCCCAATGGCCTCACGGTCAAAAGCGAGATTAAATCCTGACATAGGAAACAAGGCACCCTGCAAAATGCAGCATGTCAGTTGGCCCTCCAACCCCAGTTGTAAAGATGGAGAACGGCGCAGAAAAGGTGAGTAGTGTTACTTTGGGAATGGTTTGCACGCAGTCAACATAGCGAAGATTGCGTTCGTTCGGCTTGACAAGCTGAGTCGGGGCGTCGTAGTCGGGGTTATTCAGCCAGAGGCCATGAGATATTACAGTCCTGACACCCTCCCGCAGACTGCAAGACACACGCCCAAACGTGAGAACATATTTGATGAACGAGTGGAAAAAAAGGGGGAATCCATGCACATACCTGAAAGGATAACCACGGACAAAATCCGTGGAGTCCTCAAACGGGTCGTAAAGAGTGTTGAAGTGGAGTGGTGTTGCTGGCCTTTGAAGGTTCTGAAGGTGCTTCAGCACCGGATCCAACTCCAATCCCGGAGCCGGAAAGCCCTTCAAACGGTAACAGTCGTCGGCCAGGGTGTAAATATACCTCTTCTTCGAAATAAGCCACCCAAAGCACCGGCATGCGCTGGTAAAGATCGAGGGAGGGACAGGAAAGAGGGAGGGAGAGGGAGACGACGAGAGGGAGAGGGGACGAGAGGGAGAGGGAGAGGGAGGGAGAGGGAGAGGGAGGGAGAGAGGGAGGGAGAGAGGGAGGGAGAGAGAGAGTGAGGGAGAGAGGGAGGGAGAGAGAGGGAGGGAGAGGGAGGGGGAGTGGGAGAGGGGGAGAGCGGGAAAGAGAGAGAGGGAGCGAAAGAAATTTACTCCAATGTAAGCTTACATGGCAGCAACATGTTTGGCAGAAGGAGTCTGAGCTCACCTGTCTTTTGACGAGATGCAAGCAGATCGGTTTCCCAACATCCGCTTGACATCGCTCCTTGTAAACGATTCAATATCAAGTCCAGGTGGCGCTCTCAGCTTTGCGGATGCCTCAGGACCCGTCTGAACCACGATGATGTGGTAAGGTCTCAAGACATCGTACCACGACTGGAAAAAATCGCCACTCTCTCCGCTGGTCGCAAGAACGACATCGATTTCGCTTGAGTGGGGTACCAGCGCGACAGGTCCAGGCCCAGAAGACTTGCTCATCTTCGAATGCGGATTCTACGATGTCACAGAAAGAACTCGTTGATAGTGCCATACCTTGAAAAAGGGAGCGAAATAAATCAGCCAGGAAACGTCCTGTCCTCTGGTGAAGAACATGTGCGCTGCGAAAGCTATCGAAAGCCCTATTGATGTGACCAGTCGCTGACAGGTGACTAACAACTTTGTGCGGGCTCTTGCGAAACCTTTTCTGGCGTTTTTGCTCGAAACCTTCCAAACGTAATGAGCCTCTCGGACACGCACAACATCGCACCGCACCGCAATATACCGAAAGGTAACACCCCCGTTCTCTTTCTATTTTGTGATACGACACAGCAGGTGGAGCTGTAAAGTGAAGAGCGTGAAGCAGCCAGTATCGAAGAAATGCATGCGTAAAGAAATTCTCGGCATTCCTTACAGCGTTCCTCAACATCTAATACAGCAGCAGCTGTTGTTCGCCCGGTACTGTTAACGGAGATTCGCCAACTTCGCACACATTGTTTCAGCAAACCATGCACCGCCTCGGCCGGCCGGATCGGCCTACACTTCGGGACTAGCCCCCGAACCTCGATGCCAGCCTAGCACTAGCTAGCTCGCACGCACCGCATTACCGTTTGCATGTTTCGCGTATGGGTATTCGCTCATGCCTTCACTCATACTTTATACTCGTTTGACACCTAGTGCAATCCTCGTTATCTCGTTCCATTGCAGTTGTAACTCTTGGTATGAGAGCCACTTTCCTTTTCAAACCACGCATTTCCGCACCCACACAAAACAACATTTAATTTTTGCACTCCTTTTGTCAGAATCTAGCAGCAGGAATGGATGAACTAACAGGATGCAGGAGTACAAGTAGTAAACCCTAACTAGGTTGTACCCCATATGGGCTACCCCACTACAGCCTAGACAATATGCAGCACATATAGTTTGACACACCCCCATAGGCAAAGTGGGGGAGAACAAGGGGTCACACGACCAGTCAAGAGAAGCAAAACAAGCTCAGGGTGGATCACAACGTCACCACGCATTCTGAGCACAAGCAAAGGGCCACTGGGCCAGTTCACATGCAGAGATATATATGCAGCAATAACAGTACAGTGATGGCTACCTAGCAAGAACCAGCATGCATATATATATATGTACAGATCACAGTACAAGCAGAGACTACAGCAAGTGTGGAAACGTAGGCACAAGGCCTAACAGAGTACAAAAGCGCTGATGATCACCAGACGGAAGTGCCTTGGTGAATATGTCAGCAGTGTTGGCCCGAGTGGCCACGTGGCGAAGACGAAGCTGGCCTCGCTGCTGCAACTCTCGAGCCAGGAAGTACCGCAGAGCAATGTGCTTCGTTCTGTGCTCCAGTCTGTGCTCCTCACACAAGGCAATGGCGGCCTTGTTGTCAACGTACAGCACTGGAGGAGAACGAGGCTGCTCTCCCAAGTCAGTCAGCAGGTAGGTGAGCCAGCGTAACTCCTGTGCAGCCATGGCGGTGGCGTAGATCTCAGCCTCACAACTGGAGCCGAGAACTGAAGTCGAGCGTGTAGAACGCCACGAAACTGAACCAGAGCCAAGGCTGAAGGTGTAACCCTGTGACGACCGCTGAGTAGCCAGGTCGTCAACCCAAGAAGCGTCTGAGTGCCCAGTGAGGACAACTGGGCTCGTCCCTCCAAGCACTAGCCCCATGCCTGATGTGCTGCACAAGTAACGCAGTACCCTCTTAGCAGCAGCCATGTGCTCAGGTCGGTGCCGACCAGGAGCCACGTAGCGAGCCAGGAGACCAAGAGGGTACGCGAGGTCAGGTCGAGTGCAAGTCATCAGGTACATGAGGCAGCCGACTAGCTCTGGGTAAGGACCACTCGGCTCTACGGACTCGTCCGAAGGTGGAGCTGAGAGCGTGTGACCTGTAGCCAGAGGAGTGGCCTGTGCTGAAGACCAGGTGAAGCCGAAGCGCTGAAGGACCTGCTGCACCATGTGTGACTGAGTCAAGGTGATGGTGCGACGTGCTCTGTCTCGGGTGATCTGCAAGCCAAGGTAGCTGCGCAGCTCACCCAAGTCTGTGCACGTGTGTCTCTTCTGCAGCTCCGACTTCACGTGGGCGAGAGCCTCAGTGTCAGCAGTGGCAAAAACCAAGTCGTCGACATACACGAGGATGTAGAACGGCGGCAGGGAAGTGTCGGTGCGCAGAAACAGCGACGGGTCAGCAGTAGAAGGCGCAAACCCAAGAGCCGCAAGCGTAGTCCTCAGTGTGTCGTGCCACTCACGTGGCGCCTGGCGGAGACCGTAGACCGGCCGCCGGAGGCTCCACTGGGTACCAGGAGGGAACGACCCAGTGAAGCCCGGGGGGCGGCGCAGCCAGATCTCCTCGTGCAGGCTGCCCTGCAGGAAAGCTGTGCTGAAGTCAAGAGAGTGAAGCTCGTAGTCACGGTGAGCAGCAACGTGCAGTAGCACCCGAAGAGTGGTCATCTTCGGAGTGGGGGAGAAGGTCTGGAAGAAGTCAACTCCCTCTCGCTGACTGAAGCCTCGAGCCACGTAACGCGCCTTGAAGACAGGCGGAGAACCCGGCGGCCGCTTCACCCTGAAAATCCACATGCCACTGACGATGTTCGCCCCAGGTGGGGGAACCTCGTCAACGTAGGTGCCTGTGGACTTCGAGGAAGCCATCTCTGCGTCCATGGCTGCCTGCCACTGAGAGGAGTAGGGACCCTCTATCGCCTCTGCGTAAGAGCGCGGAGTCGGGATGTCTGGTGCATCCGGGTCTCCCTCAGGGGCAAGTAGCGAGGACACAAGATGAG